AAGTTGTGACCGAGTGTCTGTTGAACGAAGTACGGGCGGTAGTGCGGAATATTATCGGCCCATTGGCCACACCAGACTTTGTGCACCCCGCGCAGTGCGGCATGCCCAAGACGCGATCTGGCAAAATCGTGCGTCGAATGTTAAGGAAGATTGCTACCGGCAATCCAGAGGACATTGGAGATACCACAACCTTGGTTAATGATTCGGTGGTATCGTTTCTGATGGCTTCTCGCACAGAATGGATTCGAAATTAAGAAAGTAATTTGCATGATTATTATTGTTTTTACACATTGTGGCTTCGTGATTGGCAAACTTATATTTTACTGTATGTGTTCTGAGAACCGGTTGTGGTAAATACTATTTAACTTTATCTCCGTAGTACGACTTTTCCTCCGTATCTTTCACTTTGGAGGAAGTGAATTTAAAGGATTAAAATTAGTATCACTTGGTAATGGAAATAGGTTATATGGACGAAACTATATATCTATTCATATGTTATTTTAATTTTATTTATAAATTTGTTTCACTTTATGTTACGATGTTCAATTATGACATTTACTCTCATACTGAAACACAAAAGATCAGGGTAAGTACTATTAATATGTTATTAATTACACCCAAAACAGAATTTAGTGTTTAAAAAATCATTAAATTATATATATATATATATTATAAATACAGCTATTATAAGTGTTTTGCGTTGTTGTTTTTCCTTTGTTTATCTCTAGCCTCGTTATTAGTCTGGGATTGGGCTAAATGAATGTGATCCCAAAGACCTGAAGACACTATTGAATTTACATACACATTCAATGTATATATTTTTTTGAGACACGTAAACTTCTAAATACTACATTATTGTTCCTACTAATACGTGAAAAGGTATCGAAAATAGAGTAAATGCTTTTTAAAGGATATCAAAGATAAATTTAAGAAGAGTACTGAAATAAATATAGGATTGCCTAATCACGAAATCATAGTGTAGCAAAAAAAATCTACAATAAAACTTTTATATACATGGTACTGGGAATAGATCATGTTCCTTGTCAATATTCATTTGGGAAAAATCTTGGAAGCTAGGCCAGAAACAAATGAAAATCCATTTATTTCAGGAAAGGGTGTCTCCTTTTAGGTGTAGTGATAGTGTATCTCATTATTTCTATTATTTCATACTATTTTTTATCATATTTTAGTTAAGATTCTTTTGAGCTTACGAAATAGTAGTGCATGCAAATTAAAGGGCAAAAAGGTAGTATAAGTAAACGACCTCTCTTAATTGAGAGAATCTTAAGTTTGTTCGTTGTTTCCGGCACTCGTTTCCCAACTCCCCGTTTGAGGGGAAAGAAGTCTTTGCAATAATACACAAAAAAAAATCGAAGCAAAAATAGGCGTTCAAGAGTAAAACGCGCACACACATACTGCTACTTTGAGAACAATGGGAATTGAAACCTGGAAGACATTCCCCAATATTCTCACCGAGTACCCGCGCCATGGGGTTCCCTTGCCATGTTCGGATCAAAACCCGCGGTTGAAGTGCCCGGAAACTCGCTGGGCCCGCGACTTCTGCTTCGCGCAGGGTGGCAACTGCGAGTACAAAATTGAGGCCCACTTTGACTGCCTTGCGCAGTACTACCCGGCCGATCGGATTGAAGAACTACGAAAAACCTTTAAGCCGAACACGCTGGACTACCCTACCTCCGATACGTACCTGCGCTACCGACATTTTTACATTGGGGCACCTTGGGCTGCCAAAAATAGCTGGGAGGCGACACGTTAGATAAAAGGGAATGGAAGAATAACAACAAGGAACAACAACCAAGAGACGCCGAAATGCCTGGGATTACCGTTCGTTTTCCTTTTCTTAACTGCATTGATCAATGGTAGTGCGGAATGGGTTTTTCTAGCGAAGACTATTCTAGGAAAGGGTAAATTTGTGTTTTCTTTATGAATCACCGCTGCTTCGTTTGAGGAGTGAAAAGTATTTTACGTAACATATGCTACTTGAGGTTGGCATAGTCTCAGGTGAAAAATAGGGTTAGGGATAGCATAAGTAGCTACAACAGAAGTGCTATAGAATCGTGATATGATATCGACTTTGGGCTCAACATTTGTTTTCTGTCTATATTTACATATAGGAGAATGTTTTAGTTAGTGGATTACTTTTTAGCCTGACTGAATGATGAACAACGGTATTAAAATACAAAAGACAAATATAACGAAAACACACACTCTCAAACACATAAAAAAACGGGCGTATTTTTTTTCAGGAGGGAACCTTCATCTGCGTCTTTTATATGTTTTATGTTGGCATTATTATTACTGCTACTATTATCTACTCCGCTTTATCATTAAACTCTTTAAACACAAAATTCCTGAAAACCTTCATAGAAAAAAATTTGCTCATTACCCGACAGATTTCTGCCCTTATCCGCAACCGAATCCAGTAAACACCAAAAGAAGCAAAATAATACCATCCGTATCGTTTTACTTCTTTTCCAAACATGCTCCGTCGCGGCACCGTCTGTCTTTCGGCCACAAGCCGCATCTTCGTACTGGGTGGCCACATCACGCCTTTTATTGGGAAAGGGCACCCGAACTTTATTGACAAGAAGCACCCCGACTTTGGCCAAAAAAAAAACAAGACCCTGGAGGAGTTCATGTCGGACACGATTCACGGGACGCTAGAACAAACCACCCTCGCCGGCCGCGAGGAGCTCATCGACCTCCTTATAGTGGGGAACTTCGACGGGGAACTTTTTTCAAACCAGGGCCACCTCGGGCCGGCCGCGGTGGGGAGTTTGACCTACGCCCGCCCCGGGGGTTCCGCGAACCCGCTTTTACACAAACCGGCCTTTCGGGTGGAAGGGGCCTGCGCGTCGGGCGGGCTCGCCGTCTTCTCCGCCGTCAACGCCCTCAAAGCCCAAACGGCAAAGGTGGTACTGGCGATGGGGGTTGAGGTCCAGACCACCGTCTCGCCGCGGGAGGGGGGGGATTTCCTCGCGCGCGCGGCGCACTACGCCCGGCAGCGCGGCATCGACGACTTCACCTTCCCCTGCCTCTTCGCGCGGCGAATGAAGGCGATCGTTGAGCGCGCGCACTTCACGATGGAGGATGCCGCCCGGGTCGCCCTCAAGGCGTTTTCCAACGCAAACAAAAACCCCCTGGCCCATATGCACACCTGCCGTATGACCCTTGAGAAGTGCATGGACGACCCGAAGAACTTCAAGTTCCTGGGCAATGAGACCTACAAGGAGTTTCTGCGCGTGTCGGACTGCTCACAGGTGAGCGATGGGGGGGCCGGGGTGGTGTTGGTGAATGAGGAAGGCCTACAGAAGCTGGGCCTCACCCCACGCGATCCTCGGCTGGTCGAGCTCAAGTCCCTTGCCTGTGCGGCTGGAAACCTCTTCGAGGACCCGGCGGATCCCACACGGATGGACACCTCGGGCGTGGCCTCTCGGCGTGCGCTCGAACAAGCGGGGTTGAAGCCCGGCGATCTGCAGGTGGCCGAGCTGCACGACTGCTTTTCGCTAACGGAGATTCTCTTATACGAGGCTTTAGGTCTGGCGGAGTACGGTAAAGGGCGGGACCTCATCAACAACGGCGATACGTGCCTGGACGGTCGGATCCCCGTGAACACCGGCGGCGGGCTCTTGGCTTTTGGCCACCCTGTCGGTGCCACGGGTCTGAAGCAGATTATGGAAGTATATCGCCAAATGAAGGGGCTCTGCGGGGACTACCAGATGAAAAAGGTGCCCACCTTGGGCGCGGCCTTGAACATGGGCGGCGATGATAAGACGGCCGTCGCGACGATTCTAGAGAATATCTAGCTTCAGGATGAACGAAGAAAAGGGTGTGCGGCAAACCCCATTGGAAAAAGGAGAATATGCCTATGATAGTAGTGATGACATTCATTGTAGCTTTTATTTGACACAAATCTATATATACATATATTGTTAATTTTAGTATTATCAATACAGTATTGTGGTAAACGTTAGTTTGGATAGTGATTAAGCCTTTTTTCATTCTTTATATATACGCAATACTGTTTTTTTTTTTATAATCTTTATTATGATAATTTTCCAATAATTATGTAAAGATACAAAAACAGGGAAAAATAGTGCCATATAAAATTATCTTATTTCGCCAGATTATATGCCATAAATTGTCACTCCTTTTCCTTTGATATTTTACTTGGAGATGATAAGTGTATATGTGAAGCGATGTCATGTGAAGTTTCCTTTCATGTTGAAACAATACAAAGAGTAAACATGAAATGATTGCGTTGTTGAAACATATGGACTTATGTTGGGATAGGAAGTGAGCCAAACAAACGTTTATTGTCGGTGAGGTACACCCCTCCCACCATATTGCGAAAAGTATTATATGTTGCTTGCATACTTTACTACTACGTTATTTTCTCTAAAATTAGTCTTGTATTTCAAAGGAAGCATCCTTCTATAGGATTCATTAAAAACAACAAGAGTAAGCCTGGCCATATATTTCTATAATTTCTTCGTAACTAATTTCTGAATTATTAGGTAAATAACGTAGTCTTGCTACGTTTCGCATTGGCAAGTTTGTGTGGTGTGTAAATTGCTCCTTCCCTGAGTCATTTACTCCGCAAATAAACTCTACTATACTACCTAATAATTTCCCTTTCATCGTTAAACTATTTTGTGCTATTTTTCACTGAAATCATAGATCCGATTTTTAAGATTATTTTCGCTCGACAGGTGATTGTGACGAGCCATTTTGTGTTTATTAGATTTTCTCCTTTTTTGAATTACGTGATTGAACATGTACCAGTCGAGCCTCTTACGAATCTCCAAAAGCTTCGTGAAGTTCGCTTCGGCTTCTACTGCAGCCACCATCGGTGGATCTTCTGTAAAGCCGGGTAATTTTGCGCCGACATCAGCGTCAACAGCAGCGTCTACCATAGGCACAGGTGTGCGGAAGAAAGTTATTAAAAAAATAATAAAAAAGGTTAAGCTGGTTCCCAAGAAACAACCGACTGCTTCTGAAGCTAGAGATGCTTTAGAGAATGACGATCGCACGAATATACCGACTGCCACAACAGCGGCAAGTCCTCTTCCTTCTCGTCTTCCTGTTCAAGACGTGCAAGCAGCAGCTAACACAGAATCTGTTGAGACTCTGGACTATATTCCCCCCCAAAATCCCCCGATTGCGCGGCGATTTGTAAACTCATTGAAAAATGAAAAGCACCATGACGCCGATCCCGAATCCAATCCTTCCACAGGTGACGAAGTGCGTCTCGAGCTACGTGGGATTCCCCTTTCGAATAGCGAATCCGCGAAACACTCGGCGGACCAACCGGGGACGCAGAAGAAAACCCCCATGGTGAAAGGATACCGAATTGAGGAAGTGCTCACGCTCTGCAGCCCATTTGACGCGATGTTCGCCCGACGCCTGCCCTCCGGTGGCTGTCAGTACTTCGCGTGGCCCGGTACCCCTCTGAACATCGCCAGCAGCGCGATTATTTCCATGCCCGATACCATTCGCACCGTCCACGCCGTCTTCGGCCGCGCCGAGACCCCCATTGACCTCGTGATGGACATCGACTGCCCGGTACCGCAGGAGTACTGGAGCATGCACAAGGTGGTTCCCTACCACCGCAAGGTCCTCTCTGATGTCCTCACGGTGGTGACCGAGGAGATTGAAAAGATCGGGGAGACGATCGAAAGCCAGGTCGTATTACAATCGCCGAACCTGAAAAAGGCCTCCTTTCACGTCCACACCCGTCTCAAGGACGTCGCCTTTGCGGACTACAACTCCCTGCACGGCTTCATGGCCCGCTTCCACTCCCGCATCCCGACCGTGGACATGCAGATCTACCGCAAGAGCGGGATGCTACGGATGTTCGGCTGCATGAAGGAGAACCGCACCAGCGCAATGGCCGTCTTCGACGACGCGCG